GGAATAGAATTGTAAAATCTAGTTCGACAGAATAATTTGGATTCTATCGCTTTGCTTACCTTTCCCTTTCTTCATCATCTCTATCCCTGAAACGGTTTTTACAGTTCACCTATTTCAAATCTATTTCGATTCGTGGATGTATGGATTTGTTGTAAACATTCTAAATGGCTATTTTCACTATTCCTCTCTAAAAGTATCCATTCTAAATGTTTACAGCAACGAAATCTGTTTTGACTCTGTTGTTGAATTTTATCGATATGAGACAATCATTTGAAAGGAAAATCTCCCAAATCTAATGTGATGACGTGTGGAAATCTTCGCACTACAAATAAGTTTGAATGTGTTTTGAAAAGGCAATTAAATCAAACAAATGAATCATTGTGAAGAAAATAATCCTTACAAATTAAGCTTCAATAAAAACCACAAAATAAGCATTACTCGTTATTCCGGTTTGGAATTTCAATACCTACTGGTTGACATATTTATTGTTATTCCTGCAAACTGGTTTTTGTTGTAATCAACTTTTCGCTTTTGTGAATCAGTTGAATATTCCTAACCAGGATTTATGTCGTTTTCATAAATAGAGTTTTTACTTGCAGTATTCCATCAAAATAGAATTAAAAAAAATCAATTTTTAAAAAATCAAAATCGTTTGAACTTCGAGAAAATTTACATCTGTAACCAAATTTTTCGAGTTTAAAATAATGTACTCGAATATATGATAAATACAATTTAGTCCTTTTTGTATCACCTAAGTTTCATTATTCTAATATGATTTAGTAAGTATGGCTATGATTTAATAAATTGTGGTTAGTTATAGGTAATTTAATTAGCTTGGTAAAGTTAAATTCATTTTAAAATCAGAGCCGGGACCAATTCCATCAATTAAAAAAACGAGGGACAAAAAATTCAAATCTCTAAAAATTTAATTTGTCGGTTTTCCTTTGCTGCATACATATCTGATAATCTTTCTCCCCTTCTTGCATTGTAACCGATGGTCCGAGATTCTAGTTTCAGCAATACGTATCGGTGTGATGTGGGCAGTTTCAGCACAATCTTCCCAATTAAAGTATTTTAGAATTACGAGTTGCTGAAATGTCAAATGCAATGAAGAGAATGTGCTAAATCGAGGATGCATATCGGGATCATATTTCTCTTCCTATTGTAAAGTTTAAAAGAGCTACAAAATTGTTTAATCCTCTGATTTTACAATCAATCACTCGATGAAAGGGAAATTTTAGGCATGAAAGATTTTAACAATTCAAATTGAAAAGAATACTTTTTGACGGGAAAGAATAAAAAGCACAAAATGTAACATATCGCAGTAAAAACCATAATGTATTTTCAAAAATCAAAGATTACCGATATTTTTAATCACAAAAAAGATAAAACTGAAAAAATAGAAATATGACAAAGTGGGAAATAGAAGTTATGAAATATTAGAGATGAACAATTCAAATTTTCAAATTAAGTTTATTAATAACAGTAGAATCACTGGCAGTATAACATGCTTAATATACTGAAGTCGATTAAATTATTCGTTACGGAACAAAATAGTTGAAAGTCAAAGGTCGCGACAGTCGCTAAATTACTGTAATTATTATCAAAGCGAGCTGAATATTTAGGCAAAATATTCCTAATAGTAGTTATTCAAATTCCTAAAGATTTTTAGTAATAAAATTTAAGCACTGAATTTACAAAAATTGGTATGAAAATCTGATGATAGATTTAGCAATCCATTGTTAATTTATTCAGTTGCAAGAAGACGGTAAGTCTGGAGTGTAACGGATCCATAGCAATATTAATTAGAAAGTATTGCATACATACCATATCATCCTTTCAAACCGTTGATTTTAAAAGGAAAAAGTTTATGAAGGCCGTTGGAATTAGATGGGAGAATTAGTACAACTTGAAATTGGAAGCATTGTGGAAGGATGGAAGATTGATGGGAAACTTGGAGAAGGTGCTTTTGGTGCTGTATACGTTTGTTCCAAGGATAACAAAAAATATGCACTTAAGGTATTTGCTTTTTTATACAGGATCAATTAAGATTTTGAATAGCTGTTTTGTAAACATTTTGATTAATTCAAATTAAAAAGCCATTTAGAAGAAAAGTAATCTTAACAACATTTAGGTAGAAAGTGTTCATGAAAAAGTTGGCTTCTTGAAAATGGAGCTAACGGTGCTGAGTAAATTGAAGGAGCAAGATCGCCTACGACATTTTTGTACCATTGAGGACAAAGGCAGACACAAAGATTTTTTCTACATTGTTATGACTATGGTTGGAAAATCCCTCCAGGTCAACGGTTTATTTTAAATTGCTGATTAAGCGGACAAAGATGAAAGCTTTTAGCAATTGCGTAATGAAAAATCGACATACGTAATAATATGTATTACAAAACAACAGATAGAGTAAAATTAATTCTAACAACATCTGAAATAATGCAGGAATTGCGACTAGAAGCTCAAAACAAGAAATTTTCATTGGGTACAGCCATCAGTGTTGGCATTAAGTGTTTGGAAGCACTGGAAGATTTGCATAACATTGGCTATTTGCATCGCGATGTCAAGCCAGGCAATTTCGCCATCGGTAGACCCGAAGTCAAAGAATTAAGAAACGTATTGCTTTCTAAAAATTTCTCAACTCTTGAGATTTATAATATATATCAGAAAATAACAATTCAAGGAAGCTGTAATACTGAGAAAGATTCAGTAATCCTGGATACTTCATAATTTATTAGCTTTTTGCATCTTTGCTAGAGAAAGAATACGATTGTTGTACAATATTGCCAATGATAGAACACCTCATTCGTATCTCATCCTCAGAATTTAAGATTATGCTAATTGATTCAGTACAAAAAATGTTCCAGGTATATGTCCTTGATTTTGGTATGGCTCGACTGTATATCCATGAAGATGGCACGATGAGAAATCCTCGCGCACTAACTGGATTTCGGGGTACCGTAAAGTATGCTCCGTTATCGGCTCATATATTACGTGAACTGTGTCGGAAAGATGATGTAGAATCATGGTTGTATATGGTGGTCGAGCTCACCAATGGGAAACTACCTTGGAGGAATATGACGGTGATAATTGAATAATTTTATGTAGTAATAAATCCTGCTTAATTAAGTTATTAGGGAGCAGTGAATGATTTCTGAAAACTTGGAAGCTTATAGGTTATAAGTAGCAAACATCTTCAGTAAAATAATCTTCAGTAAAATGTTCAGTAAAATAAGGGTTCGATCAAATAAAAAAGAAATTCATTAAAATAATAATCGGAAATAACAATTCTTCATATGAAAGTAAAAATAGGTGGAGTGCTAATTTCTAAGAATACTGGAAATACTTGGAGGTTGAGAAAAGATAGTAGTTGAAATCAGTACTGCTGCAAGCATTTCACATAGTGGAAAAAAACTTCATCACAGTTCATTTCTAGCGATGAAACAAGTACTACAGTTTCAAATCCTTCATCCGTGAAACATTTTGCGCACGAAGTAGTTAGTGAGCAGATTGTGAGGAATAAATAAACAAGCGACTGTTTATCAATTTTAGGAAATCAACGCCATCGGCGTATCCAAAAAGCAGTGTCGCAAAGACAAAGGCATAAAAAAATTGTTCGGCGGTTGTCCAAGAAAATACATTGAGATACTCCAAATATGCGATAAGACGAAATTTTTCGATACACCCGATTATGAAAAGATTTATAGTTTGATGCGTAATGCTATTCAGGATACTAGGAGTCAGGTTCGACGAATTTATTATCTTGAGTTGAATTTGAACGATGAGATTCCTTCGAAAAAACAAGTGTAAAACTTTTGGGCCCGAGTAAGATTTAAACCTATACCTCTATCTATTTCAGGAGTATCCATATGATTGGGAAAAACCAACTCCAGTCATGGAAAGCGATGAACATGGAGCAGACCTTTTAAGTCAATACAAGAGTACTGTTATGGGTGCACCGACAGCTGCACAATCTCCGCCAAGAAAGGAAGCGGTTGATAGAGCAGATAAAGAAATAAACGTAGAACCAAAGGCTTAATAATACACGCCACAGTTCTGATTGTGATATGATAACTACCAGAAAATAAGTTCTAGAAAATGATTTCCTTGGATAAATCTAATTTAAGCAAAATTAAATGGATCTTAAATGAATCAGCATGATATCTATAGAAAAGAATGGATAAGAATGAGCAGGTGCGATTTGTGAAGGGAAAAAGGAAATAATCCCTTTCAAATCTTGATGGTGTATTGAAGGAATATTCATGCAAAACAGCAAAGATTAGGATCTCTCCAGTCATGAAATCATGATACTTTGAAATGAAAATATGGTGATATTGCTGAGACTACAGTTTGCATACCGGTAACAGTAAGATATAACGGACAGCGATTTTGTCTCTTCTCTCGCCTCTACTAGTGCTTTCTTTCTATTGCTTGGATGCTAATTTGTTTGTTGGTTGCATTTATGGGTAGAATAAGGCATCTGTGATCATTCATTGTGATAATTTGATTCGTTGTGAAGTTATTTCAGTGATTTTTGGAGACATATTATAATAGGTACATTTCTATTTCCAGGCTTAGTTCTTCGATTTTACTTTCTTTGAATTCAGTGCTGCATCCCTCAGGTATTAATAATCAAAGTTTACTGAAGTAAAAGGTGTTTTCGTTTGATTTAATGTCGAAGTTTCCTTTTTAGAAATAAAATCTCAGTTTCAGTTGGAAGTATTTGGTTGACATCTTCCACCGATGAATGTTAGCTGGACGAACCATTTTCTTGTTGGAAAAAACAATTTCTTTCCGACTTCTCAGCTACGATATCCTGTTATTTCAAAAGAAATACCTTTCAGGTCTTTTGTCCACTGAACATTAATGAATAGTTGCGGATTAAAATTTTTCACTGAAAGCCAAGCTGAATATAGATCAAGAATACTAAATATTTAGAAAAGGATTTCAAAGGCTGTAAGGTGAAAAACTTGCTTAGTATATTCCGCTTCAAAATTATGTATGTATTGCTTCCAGCTAAAAAAGAACGGGATACTGAAGAAATTATTCAAGCGCTGAATCGACGAATCAGCGAATACAGGAAATATCTTTCCAGGTATTCATGAAAGAAGTATTTTGTGACGTAGGTAACTGACTGTATCTAACTCTGTTGGGAAGAGATTTCTCAATATTCTTATAACTGTCATGGTTTTCTAGACATAGTAACAGCACCTATCTTAGTAAAAAAGCATTGGCCTCTGTGGAAATCTTAACTCAAGAACTGGCCGACATACAACAAATGAACAAAGCAAAAGTAACTCCAGCAATTCCATCTAGTGTATCAATCGAGGTTTGTTTCCTAGAAAGTCGAGAATCTGAATAACTAATAGCTTATAAGCGGACAACAGGGACAGCGCAGAATTGTAGAGAATTCTATTTACAGTGTTTTTAACTGCAGTAAAACGTTTTGTTAAATTTTGTTGCAGATTATAAGCAATGGCACAGCTCACCTTAGGCCATGTGTCGTTATCCATACTAATTACAAGGATTATTTGTTTAACTGTCCAGAAGGCACTTCACGATTCCTGGCTGCAAATCGCTTGAAAGCTATCAATCTTACTGATATTTTCTTTACACGAGGTAATTTACCTTAAATTTCTAGTAAACTAGTTTAGCGTTTAGTTTAGTTTAGATGTTCCGAAAAATTTTTAGTCTGTTCACATTATGTGGGAGCTTCAGTCGGTATACTGCATCAAATTTAAGTAGTCTAACTAAAGTACATTTGAACTGGCATTAATAATTTTCACGCAAATTTTTGAGATACTTGGGAACATTTTGCCGGTGTATCAGGATTGCTCAAAACACCAGTGGCTTCATCGTCATCTAAACTAGAGCGAATTATTAGGCTACATGGTTCTCATAACAAGATGAAGTATTTTGAGTCCCAAAATGATTATACCGATGCTGATTTCCCGTCATCTGTGACTACTAAAGTATCATTTTTTAAAATGATTTATTCGATTTTAAGCCTTACCGTTGTTGGAATTAGAACAGTTCTCATAGTGGGATTACTTATTCTATAACAATGAGGAAAAAGATTTGAGATTCATAATCATTTGTTATATAACTTTTTTGACTCTGTATGGATTGCATTCAATATTTTCTCGTTTATTGAAGAATTTATTGACCTTTAAATGAATAATTCGATTTACATGTGGAAGAGCGTCCCCTTAGCTGCGGTTTCTACTCAGACGATGCACTAACCGTACATTTTATACCAGTGTCAACATTTTCTACTCCTCAGCGATCAATGCAAGAAAAGGTTTGCATTTAGTACAAGCACTTCGCAAAATATGGGACAAATTACGCTTAGAAATGAGGTGAATAATTTTGGGCTGAACAATAATAATAATAATAATACCCCAGAAAAATTGAGAATTTTTTTGAGTTGGATATAGCTTTTTTGGTTGAACTGAAGCCACCACAAAGGTCCTTGGATATCCAAAAAATCAAGAAGCTGAAAATCCCTAGTGGTCCTCATATGAAGCAGCTAAAAGATGGAGAAAATATAACGTTATCCGATGGGCGTTTTGTTAAAGTTTGTTTTTTGATCTTTTTTATTCTATTATAAAAATTCCATTTTTTGTAACGAAACAGTAAACATATTTATGAGATAGGATTATTTTTAAAAAAATGCTTTTTCCAAATTTGCATGTGCAGTGTAAAAAGTAAACAAGTGAATTTTTTAAAGTAAATGTAGAATGAGAATTGAGATGCTGAGAATTAAACTTTTAGTTTTCTGAGACATAATTTAGATCCATTATTTTTACGAAGCTTTTGTTAACTCAGTTATCTTCTAATATGGCTTTTTTTTTTTTTTTTGAAAAAAAAAGATTTTTGTTTGATAAGCGTTTTGTATGAGATGTTATTAGCAGTTTACTCGCAATAGTTACTGCCACAATACTTTTAATTTAGTGAGATATCAGAAATATTAAGAGAATCAGAAACAAAATATGAATTGAAACTGGGAATTTGATCATGAACAATGTAGAATGGGCAAATTAATGAGGTCTTTCTACAGGCAGAAGAAGTGTTAAGCGATTTAAAGGCTAAACCACTATATGCTTGCCTTATTGTTGAGTGTAGTGATCTAAAAAAGCTTCAGTCATTGCAAAATAATACTTTACTTCGAGTAAGTTTTTTAGATTTTTGGCTCATCGAATTTCCGCTTATCTTTTATTTTGTTAGTCTTTTATTTATTGTTTCATAATGCTTTTAATGTATTTACGTGATTTTGCTTTTCCTATATTTTTCAATAATTATTTTTGCAGGGCTATAGCAACCGAGACAGAAGTCTACGGTATGTCGTTCATTTCACTAAAAATTCAGTGCTGAATAATGATGAATACAAATCTTGGATGGCTTCATTTGGACATAGCGTGGAGCATATCATTGTGAATGGCAGCGGTCCATGCTTGCCTCACATGGAAGCAGTTTATCGTATCAATGTTATCTTGAATCATATTTGTCCAAAGTTATTTCCTCTTCTATATCCAAAAGGATTCAATGGTATTATACAACAGGTAAGTGATTGTAAGAATGTCAAAGTATTTTTTTGATATTTGTGTGATACATTTTTTTCCTTTCTTGTAGGAAATTTCCAGTGAAATCATAAAAGGCCTTTGAATTTAGAAATTCTTAATGTTTATTCATCATTTCTGCTAGAAGTGCCGGTCTTTGAAAAAAAAAAGTAAATGACGTGTATCTTTTTATTCTCTCCATTTCAGAATTGTTAGTATCTTCGATTTCCAAATTATATCTTAAATTTGTAGGATGATGATTGCGAAAAGAGCGGCAACTGTCTCTATGTTAGGCCATTTCAGCGGTATTTTTTGCGCAGGCCTGTCAATTTAGATTTATCACCGCCCAATGTATCGTTAGTCCTTACTGATTTGTTGCTGCAACTCAAAGAAGATTCGGCAACTTCTGAATCTATTAATTTATTCAGGCGCAGTAGGTTATCATTTGCTTGATTTTTTAGTTTTTTTATTTTTTAAAAATTTGTTTATCTTTATTTAATGGAATGTCAGATGTAGGCGGATGGTTTATTACGAATGTAGCATTATTCATACGTGTGAGCACAATTTGCTTTTAAAAGCTTCCAAAGTTAACTGCTTGTATTTTGGTGGAATAATTTTCTTCTAAAAATCTGAATGGCCAGTAGTTAAGCACAACACAAATTTAAATTTCTTAGCATCAAATCTGCTAGCAAACGAGGACAATTGGCCTAGGATTTGTTTTCTTGGCACATCATCAGCCGTACCTACAAATTTCCGTAATGTCAGTGCATATTTTCTTCAGTTTAACGAGAATTTTTGTATATTCGTTGACTGTGGCGAAGGATCATATGGTTAGTTTTTAATTATTTCTTTGGTAGCGAAACCCAATGCTATGTGATTAAAAATTTTTTACAGTTTGAGATTTAACTCTGCCTATTACATATTATTGTACCATGCGAACTCCGGATTATTTTCTTATTTTCTGATAATTTCATCTGCGATTGAATATTGAAGTAGTAAGCAGCTGACTATAGAAGTTTCAAAATTCTATTCGAATGAAGTGTTAAACTGTACTTCCAGGTCAGTTACGCACTTTATTCGGTGATGTAGCTTGTGAAGATTTGTTACTGAAATTAAGTGCAGTTTTCATTACACACGGTCATCAGGATCACTACCATGGAATTTTCACTATTGTTCAGTGTCGAAAAGAATTGTTTATGAAAAGAGGTGCACTTATGTTTGACTTCTTAAATATTAATGCTTATTTTTATTGTTTGGAATGCCTTGTAAATTTTCTCTTGTAATGGTAATTCGTAGGCATGACTTACAAGCCGTTAATTGTGGCTGGTGGAAACCACGTTTTGAAAGTTTTCCGTGATGTTGATCGTAGTTTTGGTAATTATACGCGGGATATGCATATTGTGAACATCTCTAAAATATTGTGGACGTAAGTTTTAATACAAAGTTCATAGTGAAATACATTTGTTTTGAAATGCAAATTTAAAATTTTTGGAATGTGTGGAGAAGATTAGATTGTTGTAAAAAATTTGTTAGATTGAAATTGCTTAACGTATTTTCTACTAAATTATTAATTTGATTTGCAGACTTTCTCAACAGAAAGGAGGTCCGGTAGAGGCAGTCGATTTGACTGGTGAAATACCTCCTGAAATTATAGATATAGAAAGTCTTGGATTCAAAAGTGTTATTGCGGTTAAGGTGATTTTTTGGTTGTTTTTGGTTCCAAGCAATCCGTTTGTTAAGCATTTCATCTTTACATTCATCAGTTGTGAAAAACTTCTGTTATTTATCACATACATCACTGATGAAAGGATCATCGAAGACGTATGTGTGATGAATAATAGAAATTTTTGAATGAATTGTTGTGTTTTTTGTGACTTTCATTCATTTTATAAATGTCCAAAATTTAACGGAAATACTTATCATTTCAGGTGAATCATGCAAGAACTGCTGTTGGTTATATATTTACAGATCTAAAAAACCAAAAATTTGTTTTTTCCGGTGACACAATGCCTTGTGAGCAGCTTGTAAATCATGGAAAAGATGCACTAGTTCTTGTTCATGAATCAACTTTTGGGGATGATGAAGAGGTTGTTTTTCATTTTGATAATCAATGCACCTTGTAGAAGGAGCTTAGAATTGGTTTTGTCTTTCCATCGTTCTTTATGTTAATTTCAAGACTTGAATTTGTAATTATTCTTGGATTCAGGCACATGCCCTGTATAAGAAACACAGTACAATGAAGCAAGCTTTCGATGTTGCTGCACGGATGGGTGCAAAGAATTTGGTACTAACACATTTTAGTGCGAAATATCCGAAGGTTTGCGTTGTCCATTTCTCCCTATGAAACTGCAAAAAAACTGAATGAAAACTTGCGAAAATCAAAAAATTCAAATTAAATATTAGTGAATTCTAAAAAACCGTACTGAAGAAAAATCACAAATTAATAATTATGCCGAATTTTAGGTACCACCATTACCAGATTATATCGAAAAAGCGGGCAATGTAACTATCGCGATGGATAATATGATTGTTACACCAAGCGACTTGAAACTCTCAGCAAAACTTATCCCGGTATTACGAGCAGTTTTCTCGAAAGAAATTATTGAAATAATGCAGCGGTCTCTGAAAAGACATGTTCAAGAAGACACACTTGCACGAAAATTTGTTGATACCCTTGGCTGTACGGCACAAAAGAAAAAACCATCCGAAAATTTATCTTTTTCGGATGCCGTTCCCTCAATAACTTCGTGATATTTGATGAAGTAAACTTTTTTGATTTTTAGTCAAGAAACTCATATAATCGTATGATTGAAGTATCTTCGCCATCAAAAGTTATTACCCGGAAATGCAATTTGGGGTCATTTGTATGCTACTGAAAGTTTTACGAAAGCATGTCAGTTCCATTTGGCTAAGTGCTTATTTGGTTTTGCTCTTTTATGTTGTTTCATTAATCTGAATTGCATTTTGTCAAAAATTTGGTAACATCTTGTTTGTTTCTTAATTTAAAATAGTTCGTTTACATTGTAATGCCTCTTTAAAATTTTAGATTTTAAAGTGTCTTTCGTTAAATTGAAAAATAAATAGTAAAAATGTACGGTAATCTTGTCATTACAAACTTTTAAAATGGCATTCTCCGCGGTAAATTGAAGTATATTATCATAAAAGAAATATTTAGCGATTGTAGTCCGATGTTCTGCTCGTAGAATTCAAAGATTTTGAATGGAGGGTTTGGGGGTTGGGGTGTTAATTTTAATCTTAACAGTTTCACGAAATCATTTCCGCTTCATTATGTCGCATGGAATGATTCGTAATAAAAAATAGAACTTCAGGTTTGTTGTTATTGACTATTCTCTCACTAGAATAATCATGCAGAACGACGATGTGAAAAGGCCTACCAGGATAGTAAGGTAAAGTTACTACCAATTTGTTCGGTTCTGTGTAGCAATTAGTTCCAGTATTAACAACTCCGAGTTTTACAATCTTTGTATTAAAAACAATTGGTCACCTAACCGTAGGAGACACGAAATCAGTTTTATGGTGTGAATATGGTTTATGGACTTTAATTTGAATTTCAGGAAAGTTTTCCTTTCACTTTTTCTAGATATAAACCTGTGGATCCGCAGTCATCTCTTTCGCTGACAGATGACCCAATCCCTGAATATATGAATGTGTTAGGAATGGTTTTTAGTATGTGTGGATTAATGATGAGAGTATGTTTTTCATTTCTTGTTAATTTGTTTTAAAGTTTTCGCTGTTATGACCTCTCTGAAATACCAAAGTTATCTTAATGATTCAATAACGCAACGTTTGTAGTAATCAGAATATTGATTTTTCATGAAATACTCAAATGCAGGGTTTGCGCTAATGTTTTTGCGAAGAAGAGTTATGACGTTCCGTTGCACTAAATGAGAGAATGAAGTAAAAAATCATTATTTTTTAGCTAAGAAGGTTGTGTTTTAATAAGAAAACTTTATCTGGAAGACTACTTATGTGGGGTTGGTAGAATAGAAACAGAAAAGTTTGATTTTTTATCTATTCCAATTTAATCTTTTATCAGATGAAATGGTGCGCATGGGTCGCCCTTCTATGTTCTTGTGTTAGTTTTGCGAATGCAAGAACAAGCGATGATGCAAAACAAATTGTTAGCAGTTTCATGTAAGTTCTTTTATAATAATCCAGATTCATACAGACAAAAGCACAGTCAATAATTTTTAGCTAACTTGATTCTACATAATTTGCTTCAGCTTTGCAGAGCTTATATACTTTGCTTTGTTAGTCTATTTGCAGTTGGTCTTGATAAACAGTTGAGGATACCAGGTTTTTCAGGCTCTCAATTTCCGCTGTTGTTATGAGTTATTTGCAAAATCCGCAACCAATAATACCGCCATGGGCCAACTTATTGTAGCAGTAGCGGCTCAGTAATGTAGAATCAGTGCTGAAGACGTGAATGAGTCTTATTTGGCGCCATTTATATTTTATTATTAATTCTGATACAATATCTCCCCAACTTCATAAACTTGAGACTTTATATTACTGGAATATATACTTGTAAGAAAAATATTGAATCAATGTAAGAGCAAATTACAATCAGTTTTGGAGCAGTTTGCAGGTGATGGGTTTTTAATTATAGTGTCAGTTTAATATATTGAAGTCTTATTCTGTTATTTGAGATGTACTATATCCAAAATAACCAAAAAACATTACTAAAGAGCAAAATTATTCGAATTCAAAGATCTGAGGAAATAAATGTGTGCTGTGAATAGATATTGGAGTGAATCTTAAAAATTTAGATGAGGAGGTCACTCACATTGAATAAATGGATTTGTTACAACGTATGCTTTTTCATATGATGTCCATAAGATAAATTATGGGAGCATTTGTCACACAGGCTGATGAAGTGATCAATTTCTCCTTTCACAGCAGTATAGATTTAGAGGCAAGTTAATTGTACAGTATTACTTACCGTCATTTGGGAATGAATTATTTCTCATGGGTAACAAATGGGTGTTGATGGAGATCACCTACAACAAAGTCACCATAACTGTACCGAAATAGAAAAGAGAAAATTCTTCCACCGATACTATGGATGGAAAAAATTCAAAACACGATTGCCAACTATTTTCCAAGAGACATGCTTGAACTGGATATATCCGAAGCAGAATGCACAATGAGGTTCATGAAGAATTTATAGCTCACATATCTGTGCAGTGGCTCCTATGCATGCAACAAATTAGTGATAAAGTGAAGTAGAAGCGAAAAAAGCACAACAGAAATGGATTTAAGACACGGATAAAGACCATTATTACTGTTGACAAAAATGAAATGGAAAGTAGGCCAGTTTCTTGTTCATTTCCTTCAAAAATGATGTGCACATGAAAAATTATACTTCAAAGGATTTAAAATTCAAAATGGTCGTAGAATTCGATAAGGTGATCTTTTAGGTGTGTGGGTATCTTCATCACTTATCCACACAGATCAACGTTTAAAAGAGGGATGAAAAATGTATAACAATTTTTTCAGATAAAAAACAGGAGAAAACCTACAGCAGAACTGCAATCAATCAATCTTACGTTAATCATTCCCAGCTTTTAGAATAGGAACTTTGATATTGTAAAGTATGTAATGTGATTTTCCACATTATTTTGGACTTTTAATGAGGCAAAGTACACTGAAGTACACTGGTTTACAGTCTATTCAAACAAAAAAAAAAGTCATAAGTGAGCATAACTACATAAGTGAGCAAAATAATGGTAATAACCTCCTGCAGAAATAAATCTCATAATGAAATCATCCAATGAACTTTCCTATGTTCATACTTCTTATTTTCTTCATCATTGAACATTATTGCGCTTATCATCCCATATGCCACCTTTCTTCCTGCTTTTTTAGCTCTTCTCCCTTCTGCATTTCATTAGAAAAAACGAGATCTGTCTTTTGCTTGAGTTATATCAACACGCATTCGTTGTTGTTCGTTCCGATGCTCGAAATTTAATTTTTCCACTAAATATATCCTCTTAAACCCGCTTAAATACTTCATTGTCCAGAGAGATTCTCGAGCAATACTTCGTCGTTCTCTACTGACCGCTGTATAATGATACAGCTACTCGTTTTGTCAGATTTATTAATAAAAACTCAAACCAACCAACCTTCCACAATTCTTTTTGCTCGTTTATCTTTTGTGAAAGTGCTTAAAATGAAATGACATTTCCATAAGTGGATAATTAAGTAAGTATTAAAGAGCGATGACATGCTATAAATATACCCAATTCCTTCAAATAATCTGGTTATTTTACCAATAAATATTTGCTTCCTATAAATCAACTGTATACCAGGCACCAGTTCTGGATCTATTTTTACTTTTTCGCCTACTACTATATATGGAAAATGTCTGACACAATACAGAAAATGGCATTTCAATTCACTTTTTGCAAAGACAAGGCTTAATCAACGTTCTAATAATAATCAAAAGAAAGCAACTCACAAACCCCAAACAGATTCTAAATCAGTATTGTAAAACAGCGCTTGTCGAAAAAACCAAAATATAAAATGTCAAAATAATTTTGTATTAACTCCATAAGACAAGAATTTGTTAGACAGGCACTCTAAACTGTATCTGAACTCTCAATTGTGACTAAACTCATGTACAATTGTAACTTCTGAAATGTTACAATCTGCTAAAAAAGCATACAATGCTTCATATATTTTGTTGTTAAGATCTTCCAATTTGACAACCAAACTTGGATTCGATTATTAAAAGACTCTAAGCTTTCTGTTCAATTAGTTTCCATCGTTATAAAATATATTATACTTAAAAATTACCTACTTGCAATGTCGAAATACTTTCGATCTGACATTCTTATAAGTAATTGAAGCATAATGTTACAGATCAATTCTCACCGACAGCTCTATACCCACCTCAATCATTCACTTCGTTACAAGCCAACCCTATCATGTCATGTAAGAAATTAAAATCATTGTCCTGGCTTAGTTTTGGATGCTGCAAATTCAATTCGGTTTGTTTCGGCACTGACTCATCCACTCCATCACTTCAACAAACGGTGCTGCAGAAAGAGCAGGAATAATATTGCTGAAGCGAAATTACAATTTAGACAATATTAGCAATTTGTTAATATAATTTAGTATCCACTTTGTTGATCTCATCCTTATGTAAGTGTAATATCGTACGATCATTTAATTAATAATGATTAGTACTAATAGTAATTAATATTAATAAATAATAAATAATGAATAATAAGGAGAATAATAATGAGAATAATAATAATAATAATAATAACAATAATAATAATAATAATAATAATAATAATAATAATAATAATAATAATAATAATAATAATAATAATAATAATAATAACAACAATAATAATAATAATAATGTAAATCCAGTTTAATGAAGACTAACTTTTGAGTGTTGAAATTTCACTTGCAATAGATAACGGAATCTTACTAAATCAGTTAAATTTCAAGAGAATTTTCACTCGAAAGGATGAATCTTTAAACTTAGTAAGGGAATAAATCATAATTAAATTAACCCTGAAAACTAATATTTTCGTTCTGAACAGAAAGAAACGTGGTGGGTACTTTCATTGGTATTTTCATTACAATAAGGCACAAAAACATTGAGAAGTAATTAAATCTACAAAGATAGACAAGAGAACTGGTAAAAAGAAAGCAACATATGTGTAGTAAAAATACACGAAAAATTTTGTGCTTGGAAATATGTGCAATAATTA